CGGCGGAGGCTAATGGAAAAACTAGTCGAATCGAAACTCAAGATGACTCGAAAGGATAAGCCGGGTATCGAACTCTGCTAGGCGCAGAAAGCGTATCCGAGAGTCGACTGCACCGAAACGCGTCTCTTGCAGCAAGAATCTCTGAAATTTCAAGCGATTCCAGCTAACTTTTAACCCTTTGTTCGGGGAGTACACCTTTCGAAAGGACCGAGATATCAATTCGCGACCCTGAAAGTACTACTCTGCGCAGTAGTATAAAATATTATTTACACCGAAGCTTTTGTCTGACCGTTGTCAGCTTATAACCTTCGCTGTTACACGAGGAACAAATGGGAACGTACGGGAACAAATCACCCCGTTGTACCACCTGATAATACTCAACGACGAAAAGACGCTGGTACATGGAACAAGCGTATAGCCCAGTTTTATTACAATTCGAAAGGATCGTTTTTCGTTCGAGCGTAGAAAGATTTACGTACGACAGGAAACTGGAGCCGAGTCGCAGGACAAGATCGAGTCGAACGGAGACCGGCAGAAAAACGAGCCAGATAAGCCGAGACAGTTTCATCAGCTCGGTCTTTCATCCGGGCAGCAAGTACGGAGCCAGGCAACTGGATCGGATAGGGAACTCGGGTCCCTTCCCTTATTCTCCAGCCTCGTCCTTGCGCCTAGGACTCGGCACCTCCGCCTGTACGCGTATATGCGTGTTCCCGGTGTAAAACGCGTCTACACGCGTACGTGTCCCGGGGAGGAATGAAAAAGAAAAAAAGCTTCGATCGTCTGTGCGGTCGATGCTGGAGAACCGCCGCCGCGTGCAGGATCGGCGTGCCGTGAGCGCGCTCGCTCGAGAACGAGCTCCATCGCCAACCAGGGTGGGAGATACGAAGGTATAAAACCGATCTGGCCGTCCGCTGGCAGCCAGTCCAAAGGCCAGATGTGACGGCGGCTCTAGTCGCACGCGTGCGAGAGAGACGATCACGACACGAAACGGCGCGAGGTACTCCCGCGTTCGAGCTAAAACTTAAACGACGCGCGTATATATCGATCACCAGCTCTCTCTCTTTTCGATATATCCTGCATGGTTTCGCACGCCGATCGCACCCATTAGAGAGACCGTTCTCTTTTGTGAATTCGTGCACGATTCGACGCCGTGAGCCAACGCGAGCAAGCAGCGTCCAGAGGGAGTCGAACGGCCACGACTAGGAGATACGTTAGTCCTGCTCTCGAGTTTCAACGGAGAGAGAAAGGACGACGAACTCCTGTCGCCGAGAAGAAGAGTTCCCTGGGACTGTCTATTGGTAATCGGTGATTAGTCATCGCACGAAGCACGAAAAGAAAAAGATAAATAAATAAATAAAAGTAAGGGTGATCGCGGCGGGTTTCTTGTGGAATACGTGCGCAACTCGACGATCACCAGCCGTTCACGGGAGTGGTGGTAACGAGGGAAGGAAGTGGAGCTCCTAGGTGCGATTTCTTCTAGAGACCTAGGAGATTAACCTTCGATTATATCGAAGGGAGTGTATTTTTTTTCGTCTCCGAGTGATATCACGAAGGAAGGAGACACCCCCGCACGGAAAATGTCTGGAATTCAAATCAACGTGGAGGAAGCCTCCAACGACGGGCGCGAGGATTTCGTTCGAGACGTAAGTGAAGATTTACTCCGCGGCGAACGTGAGAGGAGAGCATCCGTAGCCCGGTAGCGTTTTACACGTTCAACTCGTACTATGATTATTCTCTGTCACCGTCTGCTTTCTATTCGTTCCTTCCGCGATCAGGAAGGCTCGATTCCGTATCTCGGCGCGATTTAATCATTCGGTTACAAAACGTCGAACGATTCGTCCCGACTTTCACGATCCGAAGAGCGGTAAATTCGACGCGAGCGCTCGTTTGGCGGGAAACGCGTGGCGAAAAAGTAAAAGTCCATCAGGATTCGGATCACGAAATCGGGGAAACTTCGATGGGGACGCGGAAAAACGTAACGTCCCACGAGCTCGAGTCGTAAAATCTATAGGTAAACGTTGGATTCCTAACGACCTACGGTAATTCGTGGTTACGCAAAAGGCGCGGTAAAATTTGAGAAAGTCCACGGAAAAATTTCACGATGTTATCTAACAGGAACTAGATCTCGCCAGATTAAATGCATCGCTGATAATTATACGGGGCCCGTGGTGCTTCTGTTTGTCCAGCGAATAACGCGATTCCCCGGGGAAGCGGTTCAACGATCGACCGATTACAACGAACGATTCGTAACTCGAAGCCAGCCTCGATATAATCGAAGTAAAAGGCGTCGAATGCTTTAGGTTCACGGGCAAAGCCGCGTGTGTAACGCTATGTAACGCACCGTTCACCGCGAATACTTAATAAGCCTGACACCCATCCACTCGGCTTTATGTAATGCAGAAGCGAGCCTCCGCAGCCAGACGACGACGCCGTTAGTTGGGAAACGAAGGACAATATTGTTCCCAGATATCCGTAGAAAAATAACGCCGGATACGCGACGAATTCGTGTATGAATCGCAATTATCCATTGTACAATTGCCGCGATGAATCTTTCGTGGGAAATTCGTTTGAAACTTTCCACGAATGAAATTACACGGAAAAATTACATTATAAATGATCGTTCATCGAACGAGGGATTCCTAGTTTCTTCTCTGAATTTGAAATTATACTTCAACGTCGCCTAAACGAAAAATTCCTGATCCTGCGAATTGATTCGTCTAAAAACTACCAAAGAAACGATGCGATAGTATCAACAAAGACGATTGTAACGAGAGTAGCGTGCTTTCCCATGACTCGAGCAACATCTGAATTTTAAATAGCATTTCCTGACGAACAAATTGTCCGGTTATTACGCTAGGAGACAAAAAAAAAAGAAGAGCCGTCAAACGACGGGACGAGTGGGCGTCGCGTAATAAAAGTAAACTAGGCTTCGGCTTGAAAAACGATTTCCATAATTCCGTAGCTCCAGCTCGAGGAGCCGGTAAACCAGTCACCTGTAGGCCGTTTCGCACATTCGAGTTTCATAATTCCTTCGTGTTCTGTCGTTTACGAGCCAGTCCGAAGGTAGTCGCTCGAGAGGAACGAGGTAGGAACCCTGACCAAACCGCAAGATTGTATTCTACACTAAACTAAATACTATGTGTAATAGATCCTACACGTTGCAGTTTCAATTATAAAATTAAAATTTCATTAAATTTTAAGCTTCATTGCAATAAGAAAAATTACTACAACTTCCACGATGCACCTAAAATTCTTCACTTTCATTCTTTTTTTTTAATCTTCTGGTAGGAACGTTAATGAACTAATTTGATTTATAAGATACACACACGCGAACGGTCCTGGAAAAGGCGGATATCAGGGAGGAACTTCATCGGGAAGAAGTTATCCTGATTTATGTACTGTGCTCACCTTGTGCGAGCGAGCCAGTGAAACTACCAAACCGAAAGCGAGCCGTTTTTTTGAAAGGTCGCGAAAGAGGTAATATTCGCTTTCGGAAACATCGTGTATCCTTGCTCGTCGTGTAGATACCGATCGCTGGTCAACGCGTCCGCGTACGTTGTATCTCGTGAAATCTTGCAGGTTGCAGCCAGCAACGAAAAGAGCGACGTCGATCCGATCCGATACGATCCGATTCAACGGTCCCCTCTCGTTATCGATCATTTGCATGACAACGCGCAACGGGGCGTTCCGCGGGATCGTTCGCGGGAACCTACAATTTAGAACGCGTACGGGTCGTTTCATCATTCGACCAGCGATTATCGCACCGTGTGCACCAGAACTTCAGGGCTGAAATGTCGAGCCGAGCGGAGTCGAGCGAAACGTGCCCTGTCCCGTTTGCGGGATTAGTCATGCACGACGCAATCCTGCCTCGAAGAATGCGAACTGCAAGCTGGATACAAACGATGGCTAACGAGTTTTAGATAAAGAACGCACCTCGTGCGTCCTGTGTAGAGGTTTTTGAGAATTTCTGTTAGAGTTTAGGTTCGTTATTTTCCTCCCTTCGACGAGATTTATTCGCGAAATTAGCGTGCCATTAGAAACGATAGCTTTACAACTGTGGCAACCTTCGATGGACAAGATTGGTCGCCGTGGCGATCCCCGTAGCCTTCGCGTGCCAATGAAAGAATTAAAATAATTGACGATATGTTTTCGCGGTGTCGAATTTTAATTCAAACTCCGCCTTTTATCGTTCGACCGCGATTAATGGTTCTGGGCATTACCGAACGAGAATAGCTTACGTCAGTGTCCTCGCGAGAAAGTATAGCGATCGAACAGGATTCCTGACCGTCCGAATGTCCCTGGCGGATTAGTGTACTAATTAATCAGTGTGCGAAAACAATTTTCAGTCGTTCACCTTAAGAAGAGGGGCATAAACGACTCGACACAGGGACGAACTAACTTCAACATTTCACTTGGCTACCTTGTTCACACGATTTTTTATTACATCTTTTACTTTGGAGACGTGATCATCTTAGAAATTCCGTTAATTGAATGGAGAAAAAAAAAATTGGTAAACAGGAGAATCGTTTCTATTCGTTGGATCAACGCCCGATAGGACAAACAAGGATCTACTGGACACGAGGAAAGGTGGTTCTGTTTTTCTTTCAAGTCGAATCAGAGAAATCGATTTTGCAATATCGAGTGCTTTCTCTTGTTGCATGCAAATGCTGCCCCAGGGAACGAATTCATGAGATTGTGAGATTGATTCGTGCAACACCTATGTGTTACCGGGCTAACGAATCGTCGACGGTGGACAGGTGTTCTCTTTCCTTCGTCGCTTCGGCACAAGGAAAATTATAAAGGATCCATGGCCTTTTTAAAAAACATTAAAAACATGTTTTGAACGATGTAGAACAGGATCGTTAAGCTCGTTTTCCGATAAAAATACATGAAACGAGGGATGAAGAGACGATAGAATCGCAGAAAAAGCTAATTCGTATATTAATTATAGTTTGAAAACTAGCCATTACTCAATTATCACGTCCCTTTTAAATACAAAAAATAAAATAAAATTATAAAAATCGTAAATTTTGCAAAATTAATGTAGCTAAAAATTGGTATTTCTTCATCTACGATAAAAATTATTCGTTTCTATATTGTGTCGACTCCGCGACCTAAATCGAAGCTAGCAAAACCGATTGGCAATAGAGAATACGAAAAGAACGCCAAAAAAGACCCAGGCACCGGCCGGTAATTATATAATTCGCCGTTATAAGAGTGTGTCTTCATTAAGGAAACAGATTTCGTTAGGTTACGTGATAGAAAACGACGCGTGCCGAACTTTCGTTCCCGATCTAACCTGCTGTGACATTTTTTTTTATAAATCTCCGTAATCCTCCTGTAAGAACTTTTCCATGATCGATCATCGACCATAATCTCGGAATTTTGCTTTCAATAAGAATACCTAGCTATCGCAGCATCGCGATATTTCTATGACACGAGTCATCTGCATAAGGATCATGACGCGCCTAGTTGAGCTGACAGCGAGTTAAAGGCTCGAAGAATGTGGAGAAAAGAAAAAGGAAGCCAGAGAAGAGGAGAGATAATGAGAAAGGCAAACGGCAGAAACGGAGCTGGCACGCGAGTCAAAGGGGACCCCACCGAGTGTCGCAATTTCAGAGCGCCAGCTTACTTTTTTATTTACCTTGTAAATGCAAATCGACCAGAAACGGTGGTTTCCAAACGACCTAGAGAAGGTTGCAGCCAGCATAGTTCGTCAACAGGTTCCTCTGGATCCGTTGGATCCTGACATTTCACGTCGACGATGGAGAACGTGACATCTTTCTTTTGCAAAAAAGTATCGATATCAAAAATTGATACCAAGTGTCAAGCATTTTTTATACTTCGCCCCTCTAGTACTCGAATTGTTCGAATACCAACAATATCGGTTCGATCGCTAACGACACCGAGCACCGTATGTCACGATCGTCGAGCGTAAATAATTTGCGAGCAGAATTGCCCGGGCGTTATGAAATCAATGGATTCTCGGCCGGGTTATTTATAGGCCTGCGTGCCGCGTTGATTTATGGATCGTCGTTCGTGGACGTTTTCTTTTAGCGGGAAAATAATGGAAGCGAGCATGTACGATCGATGCGATGCAAAGATCAATTTGATCAGCCTCGGGCTACGAAACGAATACCGATAAGACAGCGCACCGTTATCGATGAGAATGAAATCTCGCTGCATTTGGTGAATCGCCAACAGCGATGCACGATACCACGACCGAAACTAACAAAGATGAACGAGTGACGAATTTCGCGGACGTTCGCGAGAGGGAAAGCGAGAAAGAAAGGAAGACGAGCGTGCAAATTGCTCGGACTAATTAAATTTGCACGCGTATACCAAGTGACATAACGCCGACGCGTAACGTCCAAGAAAAGTGGTACACGCTTTGAGTTAGGAAGCTAGAACAAAAGGAACTGAAATAGACATCGCACTTTTTTAAGTTGCTAATTCATCATTTTGTACCAAGGTATCCTGACCTACATAACAGCGGATATTGCCAAAAAGATATTTTCTGCGTCTTGTATTACTGTCTCTCTGTAAATTGTTCGATTTCTATAGAAGCTGACCAACTTGAAAGGAATTCCTTTCATAACAGTAACGATTGATCTGCACATCAAGCAACCTGTCCGCGCGAAGAGCATCGCTCAAGTCCATCTTCGAAATTCAAGATCCGACTACCCTCGTGCGTCGAAACCGGTTCGATTTTCAAAAAATTACCGCGAACGCGTCTTTTCTACAAACAAGCAGATCTTTTCGCTCGTTCAATTTCACTGCCTGCCACGCCGTTAAGGTGGTACCGCGGCGTTACGAAAGAGTCTGAGGATTCGCAAACAAGGTCCCTCCTCTTGTTCGCGGCTCGCGGAAGTAGATTTCAAGACTTCTTCGACGTTGCTCGTGTAACATGGTTCACGGATAAGAACGCCCGTTATATTCGTACGGTGAGTTACGACGAAAAGAGAGACCCAGCCTGGTGAAAACTCTCCAACGCACACATAGCATCGACGCGTCATGACCGATTCAGGAAATGACTTTCTTCCTCTTCTCCGTGTGCCGCCTCTTTACTTCACCGACTCTCGAAGATTCTCTCGGTTTCTCAACGAGACGACTTTCGCGTTCCTCCACCGGGTCTGACTATTTAATCGTCGCGTAAGCGTCCACTGTTTGCCAACAGCTAGCGCGTACAATGGACAGCCTTTTGTGCGACCTTTCGGACTTTCAAACATTTCAACGTCAGAAGAATCAATTATTTGCCTATCTGGAAGCGTTTGAAATTTATTAAAGAATCGATCAACCTGACGTACAACATCGAATCGATCATAGTCGAATGTCCAGCGCGAACTTTAAACCTTTACAAACTTTCATAAGTGTCGATAATGGCTGACTGTTTACGCTGGATTTTTAGCGTATGATTTGAAGCAAACCGGAGAAAGTGAGAAAAAGGAAACCAAACACGTACTCTGAACGCGAATGGTTAACGCATTACGGAAACAATGTGTACCGGACGACGGATGATTACTTCCAAGGAATCGATACTAAATAGCTTCCGATCGATCGACCTGGTATCCGTTAATTGGCAATCGGACCTCGTCGCAAGGAAAGAGGAAGGACGCTTAAACCTGAACAGTTTCTCGCGCTTCTCGAAGAACGAACCTTGCGATCGCGTTGTCGTCGAGGAAGCCGCCAACGCATAGATGCACCGGTTAATTGCATCCGGGATCGTTAAAGATCAGTTGAAAGCGATCGTCGTAACGAGGATAATTGTTCCGCAATCGCCATTCCACCTAAACGAGCATCAAGGCTGTTAAACAGTATCGTTGAAAATTTGCCAAGATACGAGGCTCTCTAAACTAAGTTAATCGATCGTCCTCGGATCGTTTCGTTCGAGGATTTTCAACGAAATTTAATCGAGTTCTCCTTTCCAACAACCAACAACGAGCCATGCATCTTCGTGCTGGCAACAGACAGCGAGGCCAGATACGATTTCACGCGCTGCGAAGACTCTTCCTTTGGCAATGCTTCGTCTCGTTTCATAATCCTCGCTCTGTCTAAGCGAAGATAGACCACAAAGAGGTCCCAAGGACTTCAAAGTGAACCTACGAGCTGTCGATCGTGAACGATGCTCACTCGATCGAGCCTATCGCGAAGCGTAACCGAAGATTCGCCCGTTCGTTTCTCTCGAACGAGCGAACAGTACGACGTGCAATCGTGGATGAAACGAGGCTGACGTGTTGCAAAATATGTAGAGAATGATGGTGGCAAACGGGCCTTAGATTTATGCTTTCCATGAGGCAACCGTATCGCGCTACGAAAATGGAGCTCGAAACGCGAACGCGTTCTGGCTTATTCGAATTATTACCTCCATCAACGATTTTAATTGCGAAAAATGGTAATACTAACTGTCTTCGCAATTTCCTGACCAAGGAATAGGAAGATGTTTAAATGTCACGTAACGTATTCCGTGTAACGATCGTCTTGTAACGCTACTTTGCGTGTTACTGAATCGCGTTTCAATGATATTTATCTAAACGCAGTATAATTTGACTAACAAGCGTGCTTACGATGAAATTTAAGAGAAAACGCTAATCTGTCTCTCCAAAAGGCGAAAGAAAAAAATGATTGAAACGTGACAGGATACTAGGTATCCGGGGAGACGCTGAAAAATTTTCGAGTACGATAAGAGGAATATGCAAATTTGCCTCCATAAAGGGTGAACGCGCGGAGGTGAAACACGGAACACGAAATCCGGTTCGCTCGATCGTAGGTGTCAAGTCGACGAGGAAAAAAAAGCTCGTTCTACGGGCACGAAAAGTAGAGTGACTCAACGTATTCATGAGCGCGTACTTTATTGAAATTCCTTGTAAATAACTGGCTTTTTCGTAGAATAGCGGTACGTTCCTATAAATCGTCAAACGTTTTTTGCCCGGATCCGGCTGTTTCCGAAAGCGTTGGAAATCCCGCTTGTTATGGAATTTCAGCAAACATTTTTTTACGATCAATCATATGAATATCTGACAAATCGGTGCTAAATTTAGAGACAATAATTTTCTCGGATAAATTTGAATCGGACTTCGTCCAAACAAGATTCCAAAGGGAGATTACGCCAAGAAATCGAAGTTTCTACGAAACTCGTGAATTCGTTTATTTATTTTAATATGTACAGACATAGCCCCTTATAAATTTAATTCAAGTTCTATGAAGATCGTCGCGAATGAAAGCGATGGTGAAACCAGCGAGTCTCTTATCACTGTCTTGTAACGTATATCTTTTTAAGATCGCGCGATTCTGCATCCGTGAGGAGAGTTATCGGTAACGAGTAACCGTTCCTCGTGGTGTCGGCTGATACAGCGTTTCTGGATGACCCTCGACCCACGATTCGCGTCCGTGCAACTGATTAACTCGACGTTGAATTCTAGCCGAGTCACTGACTTCCTGGCATAATTAAACAAAGTCGGAAGAAACGAAACATCTATGAATCGAATAAACGCATAAAAGAGTGAAAAACGTACTCTCAACGAAATTTAGAGAACGTTTAGACATTTAGCTGCCGGATGGTTCAGAAATCATCCGAAAGCATCTTCGGATAAGTGGGGACAAAGATCGATGAATCAACGCGTCTCTGCGATGAGGTAACCGCTTTCGGATTTCGAGGATGTCGTGTTTATTCGCTAATGATACTTTCCCGCAATTCATCGTTCTGTCATTTTCGATTCTCGAAAAAGAAACGTTGGGACCGGATCTAGGGGAAAAATCATTTCTTGATCCTCGTAAGGGAGAAGCAATCTCAAACGGCGAAGAAATCCATGTTTCAGAGTGTCGCGTTACCGGTGGGCCCAGCACAGGTGCGGCGCTTCGAGGCTGACCAGTGTATTGAATTCCACAAAAATTCTGAGCGACGCCTCTCTTGGAGCGTTCAGGCCCAGGCCGTTCTCTCAGCTCCGACTCGGTCCCAGCACCAGAGTCCGCGTGCTCCCTCTTCCTTCTCCTCCTTCCACCTCACGAATCGACAAAAATTTCGAGATATACCGACTCGCCGACCGACACCTGTCACCGTACTTGCTGTCAGGTATCGAGATTCAGTTGTGAAACTTTGATCCAAATGCATCCGTCGCCGCCATTCTCCATTGTCTAGGAGTTTGCGTAAACCTAGCCGCGATCTTTTAATCTTCTACCCGGTTTCGTGGACGAATCGGGGAAAGATTTTCCAGCATACGATCGAAAGCAATTGAATCATCGTTGTTAAGCCAATTTTATTTCGAAGATGAATAGTAGAAGGATCTTGTTTGGACAATTCAAGCGAACCTCGCTGACGAAATCGAAACGTCGAATCGAGAGGACGTATCTCGACTCCAAGGTGTCGAAAAGATTCAACTCGTATTTCCTAACCTGGCATTGTAAATCCTCGGGATCGAAAAAAATACGTCGTCCTTCGACCTACAATTTACAAGAGAACGAGCTTACCCAGAGAGCCGATAATAACCCCAACTGACCGTACAATCATCAATCCCGCAATTTCCCTATCGAATAACACTATAGTTGTTCAATTTGCTCTGCAACACGAAGATCGGGACCAAAAGCGGTGCCGAGGAGTCCCGGAAGATCGCAATCGAGTCGGTCGGTAAAAATGTCGAGCAAGGCTGCTTCCACGTTATTTTCTCCGCCGGCCACGCCCGACAGGACGCATAAATCCTGCCGAACCGGCGTTCCATTAGAGCCGATACTTGGATGGGGAACGCAGGGCGCCGGTGAACAAGCGAATCGAAGCGTGCACGACGAAAACGAAGCGAAAGACGCGTCGCGTCGGACCTTGGGCGGTGGCCGATGGCCGATCGCGAAGGTAGGCCAGCGCGGTGCGAAACGCGGCTGATTTACGTGCGAAAATTGCCAATTAACCGTCTTAATCGATGCGTGTACTCGCGCGTGAGTACCGAACCAGGGTACACCCGTAGGAGCCATCAAAGTGGCGGAAATCCGCTCGCACGACTTCTCCGTCGCTGGCCCTGAAAACGTTTTCGCGGTCGCGGCGTGCTTCGCGAAGCGAGGAAATACTCGCGGCGAGGTGCGAGGCAGAAAATAACATCGAAGAGCGCGAAACAGCGAGGAGGTTGGGATCGTACGAGAGTCGTGTCCGTTGTGCAACGATCAAACCGGAATATCGAGAGCTCGGTCCCCCGATCGAAGCGCCAAAATTCTTCCTTCGAAACAGAAGTGGGAGAACCCGCGAGGACCCGTTCTTCGCGCACCGTTGCCCCTGCAACGTTTCGCCTACTGAGAGGACGAGATCGGTTCGCGGATGATGCGAAGAGAGGAGTTTCTGGGAACCGCGAGAGTACTCTGTTCACTTTCCTCGTTCGTTTCTGCTGATATTTCGACGAGGAAGCGCGGAATGCGACTACCCGCAGATGGGACCGAGCTGGAACAATGAGTCGTTGCGACACCGTTTCGAAAACACCGAGCTCTCTGGTATGCAAAGTTTGTTTACGACACGAAGAAACGCGGAATACAATGCTGTTTCTACTTGTAATAATTATCTAAGGGGGTTTCTGAATATTCGAGATAGTTGGTTAACACTTTCGCTACCATCGTCGAGGCATTAAATTGTTGTTGTTTGATCGAACAGATGAAACAGAGATACTATGGATACACGTAGAGTAATGTTCACCGGTGACAGAGAAACGATGTACACTGGGTCGCAGGTGGAGGACATGCGGGCGAGGCGAAGAAGCGTAATCGGCGCGACATTATCGCTTGTGCAATCAAAGCTTCACGTCGATTTACGTTGGTTTCAGATCGAGGCGACGGCAACTACGACCGCGGTAGCTGGTAGCCCGCTTTCCTGGCACATTCCAAGGCCGTCCTTGGTCGGCCGAAGCGAGAGGGACAGTGAAAATGGTAGCTGGGCTCATCTGCACCCGAACTCACCGTCGAGAGGATCCACGTCCTCGCAAGGCTCTACCGCCAGCACGCACGTAAGTGAAATTAAATTGCTATTTTCAATTACTAGAAAAAGAAAGCCCAACTACGAAGAAGAAAATAAAAAGGTACATTCACCCAAAGAAAACCGCGTTGATTAGAGACGGCTTAAAGATACCTGCACTATCGCGATCAATAAATTCAATTACAACACCGGAGGAAGGATCAAAGACGGCATCAATCGCGAGATCTCGCGCGATCTTCGGACGTTCGATCAATGATTGATGAAGCATCGTGTTCGCGTGTTACAGAGTGCCGCATCGGGCACGTTGTTATTGACGGCAGCGAATCTGGCCAATCTCGCGGCTATTCATCCACCCACGGTAACGGCGCCAAAACAAATGGACACCGCCTCGGTGGCGAGCAGCACCCACTTCACCGTCGTCAACGGTCTAGGTAGACCGACGACTGTGTACAGGAAGTCCTGCTGCGCCAGACACCAGCTCACCGTGCTCGTCTGCACGATGAGCTTCCTATTCATGGTCGGCCTACTTCTGGGAATCCTCTACATGGAAAGTGAGTATCCTGAACTACTTATTCAAAAATCGAAGCGCTTGTTTCCAGAAAATTTGCAAGTTTAATAAAAACCAACTTCGATTCCTTATCAAAAATACAATTTTAACTTTAATCATCAAATCTAGCCTCCACCAGTCTCCGTTGTTCTTTGTTTCTGATTACAGTGAGAATTCGCGACAAGTACCATTAGAGGGCGGAAATGATTGGGAGCGAGCAGTGGGAGTGAACATGGACAATCATCAGGAGGATTGAAAAACGGTGGACAAAGAGCAACGAAACGTAGAAACGATATCGTTCGTTCGAAGAAACGAATGTCGATGACCATTTGGGTCGAATGTATCTTTGTTCACGATCGACCGCGTTATTCGTATTTATAATGTACATGTATATTATCACTTAGAGCGTTAGGCCGATTCGATTAGACGTTCTCGATTCGAGACAATGTTTTAAAGGCTGTATTGCACCGTGTTCGACGTGTGGTACGTGAAAACTAAGTAATTACATTCAAGTAATAAGCTAGTTTTAGGTAAGCGTGGATAGGTAGCTGAACGCGATCCTAAACTCGTTGGAACGCTCGAATATTCTAGCGGAGGGTTGTAATCAACCTTCTAGATTCAACAACTATCGTAGAACCCTTCTCTCTCCTTATTTTCATTTCTAATTAAGAGGGACGACGACACGATAGAGGGGCTAGACTTTGTTCATTCCATTTGAGCACGATTCTCCGAGTCATCGATCGATTTCTGATATCAGAAATCTCGTCGATCGGTATTTAAATTGATCACAGAGAATCATCGAAATGATTGTAACGCGTTGGAGTGGGATTAACAATGTCGTCGTCCAACGAAATTTTTTGTAAGTCATATAGACACGTAATTTCTTCGATTAACGTTGACGGACAGTTCGAAGCAATCGACGAGGTGGGAGTATGATTCGTGGATGTGTTAACTTAGGGGTCGTTATTTAATTGTTACTAACAAAAGAATGCCTGAATCAAACCTGGATTCCGTGTCGGGGTGTCGTGTTCCAGGAAATGTAACGGAAAAGCAATGAGAAGCGATCGCTTCTCGAAACTGTGATATTACTTGCGTATTAATTAATCGTCGATTCAACAAGAAACTGTCGAACCATGAGGAAAGTGAAACAGTTGTTTTATTTTATCCCTTCTCCTTCTATCCTCCCGATATGAACTCGTATTGCAATTGTTTTCTTAACGAACGTAATTATTTTTAAAACGATACTTTGATTAAATAATTCAAGATTAAACGAAACTACATTAATATAAAAATCTATCAGATACGTAAAAAAATACTAAAAACACATTTTTAGGTATGAGATTTTATACAGTATCGAGAGAAATAAAAAAATATCACAGTTATCATTGGTAAATAAAATTTCAATAGCAACCTGGTACATCAATCGCGTTTATGATAGCAATGAAAAGTCAATTTTTGACACATTTATTAACGTATTACTGAAGCTTCACTTCAGAAACAAGAAATTATAAATTTAATGGCATGCAGAATATTAACATCACTTACCTCCAAGTCTTGAAGTGTCTGGGTCCATCTGTAGTTTGGCAGGTCGGCTCCGTTTCCACTATTAGGTCTCAGTTTGTTTTTCTCCTTTTCATCCTCTTCCTCGTCCTCCAAGTTCTCTTCCTTCTTATCAGTCTCATTCTCGATTCTCTCACTGCTAGGTCCAGGAACTGCAGGTGTCTCCTTCTCCAATTTCTGAAACCAAGCAAGCAAAGTAAAATTAGGAAGAATGCTTTCACATAGAAATAATCTGGCACAAATAAAGAATAAAATCCATCTACAAAACATACCTTACTATTTATTTCCTCTTGTAATTTAGCAGCCTGTTCGTCCGTTAATTCAACAATCTTAGATTCTGAATTCAACTTTTCTTCCTCAGCCCTCTCCTCTCTCTTTTTCTTTTCCAATCTTTCCTTACGGCGTCTTTCTTGTTCAGCACGTTCTGCTTTCTCACTGGCAGCCTTGGCAAGCGCGGTAGCTTCATATTTTTTAAATTTGCTAGTAACAAGCTGTAACCAAATACAAATGCGATAGATTGAATTGTAACGCCCACGGGACGTGACGAAAACGTTTGCAACATGACACAACATTGTTGAGTATCACACAAAGAATAATCACCTTTTCTGCAGCTCCCTCACCTCCTCCGGTGTAAAAATCAGTTTTTCTAGCGAGAAAACTGAAGATTGTGTCGAGAAGCTGTAACAGAACCAACAATTAGTATGGAGTATTCGAGATATTTGACAAACAATGCAGTTTAACGAAGTTTAACATAACCTAAACCGGCAAGAAAAGAAACGTACCTCTTGTACACCGCCTTCGTGTTGCTGGGCCATAGCTAGCAACATTCCGTCGAATTTCTCTTCGTTTTGTGTCATTTTGTACGCCTTTCGTAGAGAACTTATCACAAAATGCTGAATAAATCTCAGTAAAGGTATATCACTGACGTTCAAAGCAGCGCACTTTATTGCCACACCACGTTTCTACTCGGAATCATCTCGAATTATCGACCAAACAAGTATTTCAGCGGTACAGGAAATGCCCTCTCGCGTGACTCGTAGTCATCAACGTGTTATGATCTAACGAGAAACCGAACCTGTTTCGTTCGTTCTGCGCATATTTACTATGAACAGTGACTACAGATATAAGAAAACTGGATATGCTTTTGTTCCCGAGGGATTATGAATTTGGAGTTCAAAGACACCTCCAGGTAAGGTTCTTGCCTGTTTTGACAGCTCCTCTTTTACTACACCTCGCACTCATATCTGAAAAGACACAATTTTTACTTCCTTTGATTCTGTTTCGTTAGAAATCAGTAAAAATTAGCACAACATCAAAGAATTATTAAAATAATTGCTTGACAAACTTGTATTTATAAAAAAAGTAATCTTGACCTTATTTCAATATGGTGTTGATAATTTTCAACGAATCTTTCCGTTCGTTTAATGTTAAAGTTTCGAAGCAATTCGAAGTTTCTACCAATGGCTGTGATTGGTCGTTCCATTATGGCGTCCTCCCATTTCGACCAATCAGATTCGTCGGTTGTACGGTTAGTGAGCAGAGTGTGGCGTAGTGCTTCATTCCCCCCTCGAAGCTTCGACGGTTTAGCACGCGACTGCAACAGGTAAGCTTGAATTATCTTCAAATATTAAATTAAACTGCCTTTCGGGTGTTGGAAGTACAAAAAACAGAAAGAAACGTCGAAAGGAAGTCTAGATACTTGATTTTTAACATTAATTCGGCTTTTTGTTTTTACTCTTGTCGCGAATTCACAATGAGGTTGGAACTACAGAATCTGAATTACTTTCCCTATTATATCGTTAATTTCTTAAACATTATTGAATGTTTTTAGTACTGTTACTCACAATTTACTATTTCGAATTGTTAAAATTTACTACCGCGTGTTGATTTTAACAAGAGAATTCAATAACATTCTTCCTTGAGTATTGTAATATCATAAAATCTGTTCGTTTAGCTGCTTCGATATCGGTCGGTGTCAACCGGTGACGAACGATTATTACCGAATATTACCGAACGTTACCGATTGGTCTCCGAGGGATAGGAAGGTCTCGTCATTTGCCTCATGAACGTCGAGGTGATAACGTCCTCTCTTACATGCCGGTAGTACATAATAGGTACGCACAGCTTACCTATTCAAATATTTTGCATAAACTATAAAATTCGATCGTTTGTTGATCATAATTTTATTGCTGTTGCTTAAATTTTATTTATATAAATTTGTATTTCTTATTTGTTACAGATATTTGGTTGATATCGAAACGACGCCATGACACTTGAAATTGGTTTGCAACAATTTCATAAAGAATTGGTAACATTTTGATTTATTGTAATCAATTGTTAATATTTATTATCACTTTTTTTTGTTGAGTCGTTGTTAGTTGTAAGCATTTTTAATTAATACAAAAGGGATCATTAATTTTTCATTTTATTAAATAATTTCGTGCAGTAATTTAATACATGTGTTTTAAATTAGAACAAAATTGAAACAATTTGTATTTTACTGCAGACGATTGCTTCTCTTCTGCAATTATTAATTTAATTTTCATTATTTTAAACAGTTTGTTTTTGTTAAATCATAGTAATTATATTATAATATACAGTTGTCGGTGCAAGTTTAAGTTGAAATAGAATCACGTTAATAAATCACATGCTGTTTAAGCATAATTAATTTTCGGACTTCATTTATTGAAAAGAATTTAGATAATTTATAAATCATGACGTAATGGAATTTTCAACAATTTTTGATATGCTTACAACCTTAACAACGAAAATTCTCTACTTTAATAGAATAGTCTATTATCTTTATTACAAAATGATTTTCTATCGATGTAATATTCATTGAAATAATTACCAGCAGTTATTTAAAACATTTCATTTCAATCTAGGATCAATATTCAGTTTTAACAACATTTGTGTTTGTTGAAGATATTTTACGAACACAGATATTTTCATTTACAAGCCATTAATAACCATACAACAGTATTTCCCTAACGAACACTCAGTAGAAAGAATGTTGTTTTTGTATACATATTTCCACCCATCCCCAACCTCCATGCTAATCTTTTCTTCCAGGAATTGTTGTGGCCGCGCGCAAGGCGGTTGGTAGAGTCAGTGTTTGTACGTACATACTTTCAATGTTTTGAGTTTGTCAAGGGTGAACTGGCCCTGAATAGAGTTGCGTTTGTACAATTAGGAATCACGCGATAGTAGAGTCAGTGTTTGCTGCGTATTATAAAACATTTTCTAGAGCATCGCGGCTCTGATTTACCTTTTTCCATCGCGAAAATAGAATCTCCACATTTGTTCGCCGAAAATTATTCACGGTCGCGTTACTAGTACTTTATATCTTTATTTTTCTTTTAATTGCTCGATATATCCGGTATTAGAGTCACGGCACCACTGAAGAGGAGTCTTGGGCGATGCTCCACAAGGAAAGAGTGTAAGTATCTTATTACTTTATTTAATTGCTTTTAATTAAAATAGAATAATTTACAATTTCAAAACTTGATAATTGAGAGTTTTTTCTTAATAGCTAATACTTTATAAAATCGAAAATTATATATAATTTTATTCGAATAAAAACTGATAATTTGCAAAATTAACCGTAATTCTTTTTTGTTTTGTTACAGATGAACTTTGTTTAATTTTGCCGAGTCGCCGGACATCCTGATGGCTTTCTTCACGACTTCCGTCTTCAGTCTACCTCGTTTTGGGCATCCTCCTACCTGGTTATTGTGCATCCTCCTACTTGACTGTCGGAAGAAGAGTATATCTGCGAACGGTGAGTCGCATGTTTTATGGTTCCTCCGGTGCCCATTCATGTCGTAGGACGAATGGTCCGAATCGACACGGGTTACTGGTTGTATACGTGGTTGGCGAGCATAGTGACCATGGGTATGATTATACATACCCATGAGTAGTAACATTTTTATTGTGTTTCATTTCATTTAACTCAGGCTAGGTCTTCTTGCACTCCGCGTTTTAATATCATTTCAATTCCACATATTCCAGTAGATATTTATGAAATATATGAATACTTTTAAATGTTACAATTTTATAATAAAATGTGGAATATGAAGTATTTTAATACAGAAAGAATTTTATTTATTTTTTCTTTAACGAAGAAGTCAGATACCATCTGATTTAGTTATTGCAAAGAATCAAATCAATATAATATTGGTGATATAATATGTATACTGGATATACATATTAATGATTTTTTTACATTGATTTAATTACATTTTGTACAATGTACATTCAAATATAGTTTGAGAATTTGTTACAAGTAGTAAAATTGCATTCATTCTAAATCGAAATTTCGCTTATTTATATGTTCATGAAAAATTGAACAATTTATGTGCAAGAAGACAATTCGTGACGGATAGATTTCCAAGTCAGAGTGATCTATTTCAACACATTTTGCGTATTCTTGAAAAGTTACTCTGAGGAGGGAGTCGCCCGAGGATGTTTTAATATTTTTTATGAATTTTCATAATAAATCCTTTTTTCATTGTAAAGAATTCTTAATTAGTCATTTTGCTTTTAATAAAATGTCAAATTCACTTTTTACATTAAATTCCTTTTTATTAGAGTTTTGCCTTTATTAAATTAGTGTTGCGAGAAATTTCCGACGCGAGAGTAAATATGACGATGCACTGACTAGTATTCGGTGGGAATCCTTTTGGTTTTTAATCTCAATCCTATGTATTATTTAATTAATCAAATTAGTTACAAGGATTCCGCGGCATAAGACCGTGAACACCATCTCTGGGAGATATACCCATGCATTACTAGGCCTTTGCAGGCGCAGCTTTAGAATACGGAACATATGAAAATATGTTACCATATTCTAAACTGTAGTCCTTTTGTCTATACTATGGGCGTCCGCAAATCTGACACCGTTGGATGCAACGTGTTGGACGGGCGGGTAGCGCTCTTAGCGAAGGGGTGCACTCTGTCCTGGCGTTACGACGTCCAGGCGGGGTGGGTGGTATGTAGCGTCTGGCGCAAGTCTAGGGGGCGTGAGACCCTTCGTTGCCAGCTGATATTAGCAGTGCACCATGTTTGCGTCATAGTTGCTCTATTTTACTTTTCAGTATTTATTCTTAAAGCTTTATATTTACAAAGTCGAGTCACTTTTATTAAAATAGTGAAATATTAGCCCGTTAGACGTTTATGTACTAATCATGTTTGTAGATCAGGATTTTCAGGTTTAATCCCTTCCGTGTTTATTGCCAAAGCTCATTCACGTGCCCAGGTGCTACTTGGATGGGTAGAGGCAATGGGCACGATGACCTAGTTCATAAGAATAATAATTAATAAGCGGCTGGCATTGTGTTAGTATATCGTGCACGACGTAATTTCCACATATGGTGTGTGTGTTTTTAGGCTGTGGGATTGCGTCGGTTTAGTAACTTTTTCATTTAACTTTTAATTTGAAATAATATTTTATTCAACAAGGTGTACAATGAACGTACAAACCAAATAGTATTATTACCATTACTATTACAATATTGCCATTATTATTACCATGATTATTACCATTATTATGAAATATTCTATATCAAAGTAGTTAATTAAATTTTGTAATTATCATTATACGCAATGATTGCTAGCCTTGCCAGACGATTTCAGTGAAAAATGGTACGTACCGTAGAGTGTGATGTGAGATGAAACTCGGGTGACGGAGGCGTTCCGGGACGTTCTCCCTAGTTTAGGCTCTTGCGCCCGGGTGGAGTGTATGGGGGTCGTGGAATGAATTTTTGCGAGAATGTGATTTTGCCTTTTTTAAATATAGCGTTAGGTAGGTAGGTAGTATACCTTCTGGTGTGTGCGATAGATTGTAAGTAGGTAGGGCCGGGGCAGGTTGTCACAGTCTCTTAGTCGGGTAGGCGCGATTTCGCGTGATCAACCTGTACCTGGAATATATTTGAAGAATTGACGATACCATCGATACGAACGGAGTATGCCATTCGTCTTCGATTCTATCTGTACAATTTTTCAAATTTTTGGCGACTTCATAAGTCGTCATACGCGATCGCGATTGTACGAAACACACAAGTTCTGCTCGAGCATGGCACGTGTGCACGAACAACGACTTATATAAAGTCCTTTTTCGTCCACGTATCAATTAGAGTTTCGCGATTTTTCTTTTTTGTTGATTGCTTTTTTTTTTGTTTTGCGAATTTGCAAGTCTCGAGCTTTAGATATAAGTTTCAGGTGGGTGGACCGCCCGAAGAAAGAAAAGGCTATATGCCGAAGCGCCCCGACAAACTGTCTTTCAAGAGGGGAACTACTAATGATTTTGCATCCTTTTGCTAAAAAGGATGGGAAATCATTATCGTTACTACTTTGTCACTGTGCTCGCCTGTAGTTGTAGTTTTGTAATTTCAGGACAAGAGGGGGCCCGTGACCCCCATGATTTTGGGCAAATCGCGTTTTCAATTTAGTGTTGTGAATATTGACCACGGTTCAATTTAGTGTTGCGAATGAATATCGATCACGGTTCAATTTAATGTTGCCTATGCATGATTATCGCGATTTTCATTTAGTTTTGCGAACTTTAAATATCGCGTTTCTTTCTTGCATTGCTTTAAAATGGAATTTAACTTTTCAGTGTTGATTGCTTTAAGATTTTTGAGAGTTTTGCTTTTTAATGTTGATTGCTTTAGTATTGCGAGTAATAAATTCACGGTTTGAGAATCCCCCTTTTTTGCATTTTAATTGCATGTCTGTTAAAGATAGCGTTGCGAATGATATTAGCGCGATTGTTTCCCAGTGTTGCGACTTATAAATACGTGATTGCTTTGCATTAGTTTATAGAGTTCCCTGCTAATTAGTGTTGCGGTAATGAATATTCGCATTTTGCATTAGAGTTGCGATATATGATGAAATGCCCAAAAACGATCCAGTGGAGTTGCCATGATCCATAAGGCAGCTATGGACCAGCTGCCATGATACAGCCTTGGATTGGCTGTACTACTTTTTTAGATTAGTGTTGCGTCTTACAAAATCCGGTAGATTTGAGTAGTGTTGCGTTACAGTTCGCGTTTTCTCTTTTTTTCTTTTTTTCAGCTTAGTGTTGCGTATAATGGAGCAGCCTTCACGCGTATGCTTTTGTACATATTATATAATTAATGAAATTAGTGTTGCGAGTAAAAAATTTACGGTTTGAGAATCCCCCTTTTCTGCATTTTAATTGCATGTTTGTTAAAGATAGTGTTGCGATAGATATTAGCGCGATTGTTTCCCAGTGTTGCGACTTATAAATACGCGATTGCTTTACATTAGTTTATAGAGTTCCCTGCTAATTAGTGTTGCGGTAATGAATATTCGCGTTTTGCATTAGAAATGCCCAAACACGATCCAGTGGAGTTGCCATGGTCCATAAGGCAGCTATGGACCAGCTGCCGTGGTACAGCCTTGGATTGGCTGTATCCCTTTTTTAGATTAGTGTTGCGTTTTACAAAATTCGGTAGATTTGAGTAGTGTTGCGTTACAGTTCGCGTTTTTTCTTTTTTTCTTTTTTTCAGCTTAGCGTTGCGTATAATGGAGCAGCCTTCACGCGTACGCTTTTGTACATATTATATAATTAATGAAATTAGTGTTGCGACTGAATTCGCGATTGTTATTAAATTTTTTACGTTTTTGCATTTATTAAATTAGTGGAAGTAACTATGACTCACATTCGGTGGGAATCCATTGCTAGTCAAGGATTCCGCGGCATAAGACCGTGAACACCATCTCTGGGGGATATACCCATGCATTACTAGGCCTTTGCAGGCGCAGTTTTAGAATACGGAACACTTCCATATGTTACCATATTCTAAACTGTAGTCCTTTTGTCTATACTATGGGCGTCCGTCAATCTGACACCGTTGGATGCAACGTGTTGGACGGGCGGGTAGCGCTCTTAGCGAAGGGGTGCACTCTGTCCTGGCGTTACGACGTCCAGGCGGGGTGGGTGGTATGTAGCGTCTGGCGTAAGTCTAGGGGGCGTGAGACCCTTCGTTGCCAGCCGATGTTTTGTCATAGTTCAGAATGTTTGCAATTTTAAAATTAGTGTTGTGTGTGATTTCGGTTTGTTTTGTAGGGTTTGCTTAGGGATTGCTCTTATGGGCAATCAAACTTTTCTTTTCAGGTTCCCCTGTACCCTCCCTCCCACTGCCCCGCCCCCATTCTTTTTTCTTCGCATTTTTTAATTTTGAAAATTTTGAGCATACGGTTATTGGAAATACTGTTAAATAATATATGAATTTAATGTTGTCAGAATATTATTAAATACGATAAAGTTTTAAATAGAACTTTATTCAAAGTTTTATTTAAAATGAAAGTTCATTTTATTGTGTGATGATTGGTGATAAATTATTTCAAGGAATATTTGTTCATTCGAAATAGCTTATTAAATTTTAATTCTACTTTATTTAAACAAAAGTAGTGGATGATCGTTGTTGAAGTTGTTCAATTTTAATTTTTGATCGCGATGTTTAGTTTCAAGCTTACGGAGAAGCTAATTAAAGTAGTGTTCTTTTATAAATTTTTAAATTATTTTCCTGTAAACTGAAGTCCAATCGTGATTTTGTTTTGGTTTTACTATTTACAATAAACTTGCACTATAAAGGTGTATTGAATAATATAATGTGATAAAGTTGGGTAGAGTCATGTTGTACGTACTTACATTGCAATAAAATACAATTATTTCAATTAAAAAATTGCGTAGTATTTATCGATAAATGAACGAATATTAAGTGTGATAAAATGAAATAATTAATATTCCTAACTCAAATAATTTATTGAATGACAGTATATGTTTCTAAATCTGTTTTTTCTTTATTGTGATCCTGAAATCCAATTGATTTTTCCTCTTTTCATTGGAAATGAGTTACTAACAACGACTATAATTTTTGTAACATTTTATTTGTACTAATGCATCTTTTTTTCAGCCATTAAATTTATTTTGTGATTGTATGGATTCAATTAATGAGTTTCTGTTACAGAGAAGTACCTTTATAGGAATTGTGAATTGATCATTTGAACTGGAAGGAATTTAGTATAAAATCTAAGATCGAAAGATGGAATTCAGGGAATCCAATTAAGATGAGGTGAAAATGACTGAAAAAGGAAAAACTGATTATTGAAGCTGACATTCAAAAATTATGTCTAATTCTTTTTAGTCCGTTTCAGGAAGTGTTCTGATAAGAATACTAAAATCTACAAATTGATTATACGTCTTTACTAATACCCTTTTAGATATTTATGTAAGCTGATTGTAAGTTTATTGATATGTAGGACAATCCTTTGACCATACAGTCATTATAGTCAAGTAATTGAGGAAGTACATATAATAAGTAGCCTTAAGCTCTGCAGTGTTTAATTAGATTTAAGTTTTATAGTTAAGTGTATTTTTAAGATGATTACGAGCGCTCGTATACGTAGATATTCTTAGTATTTGTAAGTATGTAGGACAAATATGTAATTGCATATTTATTAATTACAGATCTGTAATCAATATAAAAAAATCTTGATGTAGGATTAAAACAAAAAACAAAACGAAAAAACAAAAATGTAAATAGATAAGTAGATAGGCAGGTAGTGAATAAAATAATGCTCCTTTTGCTGTTCGTTTGCACAACAATGAAAATCGTTTTGCAAATGTACATCAAGAGGATGATGTTATTGAATAAAAATAAAAATTTGCATAAATGGAGGGTGGATGGGATGAGGTAGGGCGGGTCTCCAACCCGCAGCAACCTCCCCGTGGTGAGACCTGGGCAATCGTTATTATTTGATGACTAATTAATAACTGTATCATTATTTCTATGGTACATTTATTAATTATGCAGCAAATAATACGAGCGAATTGGCTGCGAAATTTATGCTTTTTTCTCTATTTAATCTCTGTTATATATTTTTCAGGAACTATGCCTTTCAGATTCTGAAGTGTATCACATTGCAACTACAATTTTACGGAATAAAAATTAATAATAATGAATGCATGGTCAGTATTGTTTAATTATGTACTTATACATATAGCTATCGTAGCATATACGTGTCATTTAGGTGTATGCGAAAGGTGATGTAGTATAGCATGCCGTTAGTTGATAGGGTTGATAGCATGCGATAATTGAGGTGGCGCTTAAATCAGTTTCTGTTCGGCCTAATTTTCGATGAAACGTTGACTGTTTTACCGACGCGGAATTCGAAGTTCAGCCTCGACGCTCGCATCACCTTAACGAGTAGTTTTTGCCATTTCTTAATAGATGGTGATAGTATCCCCTGTTGCGAAAAATCGATCGATAAGTCGTTGAACAGTTTGCGCCGTTTTTGTATAGATGGCAAAAGGATTGAATTTTTAATTATTTTTTAAGGGCGATTTAATTTTGCAATTAATTTATAATTATCGTGTCTGTCGTTCTTTTTTCTCGTGTTAATTTTTATCTCTGATGTAACTTTAAACTGAAGATATGCAAATTAATTGCAATTAATTAATTCGATCGTCCTTTTGTTATTTGACATAATTCACTCGGGTTTTATCGAATAATCCACGCTATGCTTTAGGTTATGGTTTTATCATCTACTTTTTAGTTTCACTGATTATAATTAAAAGTATGGCGTACGATAAAGTAGAGAGGTTTCCAAAATTGATCACTCCGACTCCTGCTGAAGTTGCTCCAGGAACTTACGACCTAACGAATATATCTTGTCCTCAAAGACACCTTGGTATAATTATCAAATAACTTCTATTTTAGGCACATTAAAAATGATCATTTGTTCTGCAGCCGAATTTTCCCCTTTTCTTTGTGGAACGAGGAGGCAAACGCTTTCTGTATCCAAAAATGAAGAACTAGTACCCGGTCCAGGCTCATATTGCATAAAGGAACCACAGAAACACATACCAGAACGTAGTTTCTACATGTCATATGGTTCAAGATTGAATCTAATTAAACGTTATTTATAAGAGTGTAAACAATTGTAGGGAGGTGTCAGCATTGATTTCACTGATCCCAGGTTTAAAGAAAATAAATACGTAGGACCAGGTCCAACTGAATACGATGTGAAAGAAAACTCGTTTGATTGTTATAAAATAAGGTCTCATCCTGGAACTTGGAGAGGACCAGCAGGAAAAGTAACACTATTATTCGATGTTTAAATCGTACAATCATTTCTTGCAATTTAATTCATGAATTACAGTTATGGCTAGGCCGTCCTCCACGCTCGATTCTTCCTGCTAGTACGTCAGTTCCTCACAAAAATCACACAGGTTACCACGTTGACGAGTATGGTGTTTTCGTAAAGAATCCTCCACTTAAACACGAGCCAACTTTCCTATACAACGTTCCCCGAAAAGTATAAAACGTTTCTTCTTAAGAAATTTTAAAATTTGACCCTTCAAATGTCATAAGAAATACAATATTAAATTCTAAGGAAAGAAATATGACAACGTTGTTGTACAAAGGCAACTTTTGGAGTAGAATGTCGGGTAGATCAGCTCCACCACCTAGTTTAACACCAGGTCCCGGATATTACGAGTACGAAACAAAGAAAACAGCTACCGAGTTGCAAAATGAAAAAATAAGGGAAGCTAAAAGAATGTCATCCAGACAATTACGTTCCCTCGACATCATATATAGAAGAACAATTCGCGAAGTAAATTATTATATGGTGATAAAATCATCGTTAAACATTGTTAAGTAGATATGTTTAGAGGGAAATTTTATGCGTAGAATCTTCCGGCTCCTAACTGTTACCATGTGAAGGGCTCCTTCGACAGGTTCCTCAAGAGTTCATGCAAATGCGACCCTTACGCCTTGGAACCACCCCCTTTTGGACGCACCGCGAAGGTAAACTTATGAATAAATTCAGGCAGTGAGTTCATTTTCATAATTCGATTTCGAGCTAAATGCAACCATGAATGTTCACTGGCTTTGAATTATTTGGGTTTAATTAACGTCCAAAGAAAAACACTTCCCTTTAGTACTTGTCAATTTTTCCATAAAGGATCAGTCTCTATATGTATTTTATCTTAGAGATTTGACGATAAGAATCAATCTGACATACCTGGTCCTGGAACGTATGATCCTCAAGATCGAATAAAATGTATAGGTTCACTTTATTTTCCTCCATTTGGTGCTTACGCTAATCGTTTTAAGAAAGAGTCAGAAAACAACGAACCAGGTATATTCAGCATCTGAAGTTCAATAATTTTAATGTTGCTTTTGCTGTATTCGAGGTATCTTATCTAGTAATTCGAGGTATTTTACCTTCTCAGCACCATGTGATTACCATTCGAACGTGGGCAATTTGGCCTACGAGTCTCAAAAACGATTCAAGTACAGCTATTCAAGACCGACACATTTCTTCTTCAATCAAATGTCTTCATTCCAAAACAACGAAGATTATTGCATTCCAAATTTTGTAGAGAAAAATGAAGTGGAAAAGTATGCAGTGTACCATGCTGCCTTCAAATCCAGAACCAAGAGATTTCCCAAAGCTCAAAAGGTACTTCCAATCCATTTACCCTATATATGTATAAATATTTTAAAAATTTACCGATTTATAACAATCGCAAATTATAAGTCAAATTGCACCGACGCGTACTGTGGGATCTCTTCTTTAGTCGACGCAGAATTACACACAGATGTCACTACCCACACGAACGTTCATTTAAACAATGATAAATTGTTTCAATTCTAACAGAATTATCAGTAAATATAAAAAAACATATCCTCAAACGTTTATCTATAAAATTAGCCTTCAGAAAAAGAAGAAGAATTCAACAATTTCATTAAAGAAACCCTGTTTTAAATCTTCACCCCCAATGTTGCAGAAGAGAAAAGATTAACTTGTTCTTTGACAAAGCTGATTCAGTTCGAAGGGCAAAGATTGAAAATGTTTAATCAGGATCGGGGGATTGCTTTAACGAGGTCGTTGAAGGTTCGAGCCAGTAGTCACGGTAAGTTTGTGGTCAGACCGTATCCGGAGGATTCTTTTCGGGAACTGAGCGGAGCCAGGTAATCCTGGGGCGCGAGGTAATCAGGAGTGGCCGAGACGAAATTAATGGCAATGGTTCGGAGCGATGCATCTGTACCTAGGGCGGTCCAGGGCCAAGATCCAATTTGCTCGTTAATCGAGAGACCATCGAAGCGGATTCGTACTATCTGTGCAACTAGAGATAGCCTCGAACAGTCGCACCAATGCGTTTCTGATCCTGTTCAGCCAGGTGTCCTTTGAGGCTGCACGTTTCACGAGAAAAGGTGGAATCCTTCTGTGAAATTCGTCTTTTGATCGAAACGCGGAAGCTGGACGTTTGACGAGAGGACACGCAGAAATTTCATTAAACGTTTTTGGGGTTGATTCTCGACTTTGGTGCGGTTTTGAACTCTCGAAGGGAGGAATCGAAATTGATGGGCGTTGTTACGAGATCGAAGAACTAATTGAATAGTGTTTAAAGGATCTATGAATTTTTATTTTCATCACGACTTATTGTTAGATAGAAATCGTGTTCGTCGTGTTTCCTCAGACAGAAGCATCGCGACGGGACAATAAAAAGCCGGAAGGAGATGTCGTTGCGAATTCTTACGTCCAGTGGGTAAGGACGACGGGTAGGACGACGTCGTGGAGATTCGGTGATATTTACATAACGTAGGGATACGTCGTAACTCGACAGCGCCGGAAATGACGTGCCGCCATACTCTGCAGGTCATTTCCACGGTGGAGGCGCGTGGCCGACATGGCCCGGAGAAATCACTTCCGGCTCGTTGAGCCGGAAATTCGAGCCAATCCCTGGCCCCGGTGTCTACTATCAGCCTCGAACGCGAAACGTGGATCGTCGCGAGTATCGACGTTTGTATTCGTTTCTGAATCGAACGACCTTGTCTCGGCCGATCGGATTATCGACGAGACGGGATCCGCTTAATTGACGAACCTGATCGGATACTCGGAGAAAATGGATTTTATATGCAACGATTCGAGCGTAATCGATTACACGAAGCAAGGAGAACGGTGAGGATAATTCAGCCTCTGCTTGAGGAACAAGTCTTTTATATTACGAACGATTATAGGATACTTAAGTTTTATAACTCATCTGCGTTGATGTGAATGTAATCTAAAAGCTACAAGGGCTATTCTATTATACAATGCATTATAAATCGTTCTGAATACTTATACTTTTCTGTTGCAGCGAGTTAATTTCTTTTAATGACTCTTGAGAAATGAAATATTATAGATAGGGGATGATCGTTTCTCCGAATTAAATACCTTGAATTTATAAGATTCGCGATTACTCTTTTGGTAGAAATGTTGATGAAACGATAAATTGTTCTTGTATCTGATATATCGATGAAGATCGAGTGACTTTTCGAACCAATAACTCATGTATAAATCTAATCGACGCCGATCAATAGACCACCTCTTCCTGGTTCCCAAAACTCCGAACCCTTATTATTCAATATTTATAGGGCGACATCCCCGATCCGGGTGCTTACGAAGTCTTAACGGCTTTCAAGGCAAATCGTGATCGATGCGACATCCTCTGTAGACCAGTGCCCTTCGGTTCTCGAATCAGTCGATTTCCACCGACACCGCGCAAGGACAAGGACCACATGCCTGGGAAGTTCAAACCGACTATCCTCTCAAACACCTTTTCAAACTCTGTTTTTAATTATTAAATCATCATTTCAGATCCAACGTATTACGACGTGGCTGGAGATATCTCGATGGGTGTGAAGGGTGGTGCGATATCTCTTGCCAGAAGTGCCGATGAGAAATTTCGAAAATCTGTTCCTGGTCCTTCACATTATTGTGTAAGATTTCAATTTCTAAAGTTTTTTATTAAACCTTCTGTTTTTAACGGATGGACGATATTCTTCATGCGCGATGGTCCATTTTTCGAGGATGTATATATCCACGCTGTTCGGAGTGAAAGGGTTAATGTAGCATGAAGAGGGAAACGCGAGGATTTCTAGAACGTCGTTTCGTCCAGGATGAAACGAAAATCGAACTGGTCCCGTCGTGTGTTTTCACGTTGAAATTTCTATTCCGTTCGGTTGGTACACGTGCACGGTATTTACTTTGTTGTCACGGGCCAGGATATTGCGTGCTCGCGGGAATAATACCGGATACTTCAGATGGTGATGTATGAGCCGCGTTACGAGAGATGGTTAGATGGGCCGGCAGTTCGTATTACCTTTGTCCAACTCTCTCGTTTCGTTGCTGTCCGTGCACGAAGTGGCTTCGTAAATAGTCCGAATTGAAACAGAAGTCTCTTTTCCTTCTTTCATCCTGTTTCGCGAAACGAACGTGTCAAGGGAACGGAAGCGAGGTGCATATAAATTTGGGGACGTTATTCTTTGAGATTACTGTGGGACACGGTAGAATTAGGTAGTCTGTGTTTAAACTGAGATTTAAAGTTTATTTTTTAGTAGGATAAATTGGAAGAAAAACATAGGCGTTTTTTGATACAATTTTCAGATTCACCCTTATCTCTCCTCGTCCATTCTGAAGAAGACATTCAACGCGAAACTAGGAAAACCGAAAGTTATCGCAGAAATGATGAAGCAGGAGGAGCCAGATACGAAAGTACATTGCCCTTGCAAAAGAAAGAAACTTCGCTGGTTCACGATGGGTCCAAAAGAATACCACCACTGTGACACAGTATGTATGAATAAGGAAACATTAACCGATAAAATCTTCTGAAACTGTATTCGTATGGCAACTATCCGTCGTACTTCAAACTCATTTATAAAATGATTTATTCTTATCAATGAATTTTTAAAATTTTGTTTACATATTTATCACTTTTCAATACAGTCGTTTTTCTACCCCGATGTATGATATTATTCTTGTAATTATTGAATATTTTAATTCGCATCAGCCATTCATTAATCACAATTCGAAGTTTTCTCTCCTCCAACAGAATCGTGAAACGAGTTTCAACAATAATGACATAAATATTCCTCCCTCGCGGTCTGTTCATTAACACCCCATTATTATCCGTGTCGACTGTCGATGACACGTTACCAGTTCGTCGAGCACGAATTTCCAAGCAGGTACAATTGTTCGCTTCAAATTTACGTAGATCAAACGTAAACGTGTCGCTCGCGCGACTAACAGTCTCTGAAGAATTTCAGTCTGAAGTGCCTTCGGGTAATATCATCGAGTACAGGTTGAAGGGAATCGAAACGCAGAAATTCAGTTGTCGTATCGCGTTCGCGATTATAAATCGGCATCGCCGCGTAAATTATTCGAGGCCGCTCGTAAAAACGCTGATCGACGCTCTGGCGAATTTATTCGATTACCATGTATAATAAAATCATTCGACACACGGGCAGAAGGAGAATCGATGTGGGATTATGTGTCGAGAACGAATCGAAATCTGACGGAAGCAACGTCGACGTGTTCATCGACTCGTGCCACGAGTACACAAAGAGAATGGGTGTTCGTCGAAATCAGTATTACGCCATGTTGCTGAAATATGCGATGCAATATTTTTGCACACGACGATTTTCCCTTTTTGCTTGTTCGCAGATGAAAACCTGCGATGTTATTGCACATTGTATGCAAATGAAAAAATTTAAATGCATTAAATTTTGCAAATTCTTTATAGATCTCGGAAAATTTGTCTTGACGCGTGATCGTCATTATCGAGACGAATCAGTACGCTGGATGATTCTCCATTTACGATCCGCGTCTTTGCGAAAGAGCTGTAAGTTCACGTCAGTTTTGCTTTGCTCGTCGGCCATCGTTGCCGGGTAATAAATACTTTAATTGCAAGACGAAGCTTCTCCTTTTATCTCCCCGTGGCTCCCTTCGGCGAAAAAATCCTTCGAGGGTATTTAAAGTCTCGCAGTTACTTTCGTAATTACTCTTCGTTTCGCTCGCCACGACGGCAACTAGAAAGAAAAGAAAGTAAAACTGAAAACCGAGAACCTCCGCAGTTATACTGTTTTCCCTTCCCCGTAAGACAAGAATATTTATGCATCACTGTTCTCACTGACGTACGCCATCTTCAATAACGTATAAAAAGACTGCAACCGTGCTTCCTGACCCTTTACCATCTATTTGCATTTTTTCAAACGATGAAACATCATTTATGCATCGACTAACGGCGCTCGTCTCAACATTCTATTGCTAGCAACGACAAGAATTTTATTTCTCAGTTGATGTTTACTTCCAGTTGTCCGTTGGAACGAATACTATAATTTGCATTTATAAAAATACTTGCCACGAGATTAGCGAGTCTATTTTATATATAACGTTAGATGCATTCGTCTTCAGACACTCAGTAGTTAAATATTTAAGTACTATCTGCGGTACAGCGACCGACGTGAATTATAGTGAATTATTCAAATGAATTCTCAAGAGTAATTTGAAATTTGGAATTTGAAGTGTCTCGAATTTTCTAGAGACTGTTATCAATCAACCGAGTTAGAAATGGCAACGGTAAAATATTAATTTAGGAAATAATCATCGTAGTCGGCGGCATCGATGGCCGCTAATTTCCTCACGGGATCGTGATGCTCCGCTTGTCACCGGGTCCTGAAAGCAATTCCATAGATTCTTGCCTCGCAGGAATGCTTTGATCGTCGCTTCTGAACGTCACTCTAACGAGAGACGGCGAGTTAACCGCAGATTTTCCCGTTATAGCTTTCTCGGACCGCTTTGAAACACCTTGCCTCCGACACAGTCGAAACGACATTTGTCAAACGGTGTCCTAGCTTCGTCGCATCGCCGAGGCAGACATATCGCAACGTAGTTCCCACCTCGAATACATCGGACGCGCCATTGCATCGGCGTTACACGCTCGGATGTGGTCGGCGCCGATTGACGCGGGTCATTTTGCGGTCTGGGAACACAATGGAGTCTAGCCGGGGGATCTTGTTGACGCGAGCACCGGGATGTCATCTCGTCGCTGTGAATTCGTCCAGCCAGGGATACTCCCTGGAAATTGCGTCTTCGTGGAGGGTGGTTTTTAATAGGGTTCCTGTCGAGAATATTACTTGGACAAGGCAAGTTATGCATACGTCGATCGTTCAAAGACATGGTGGCATTCTTCATCTAATAGGATGGTTAAAAAAAGAAAATACTAAAGATACAAATAGATTGGACAGAATGTGTAGAATACGGAAACGCGTGGAGCTTGAGTTTCATCCCATATTCGGGAAAGAAATATACTTGAAAGAATGAAATGAACCGAATATCGTTATCTACCCCTCGTCAAACGAAAATCCAGACAGAAGTGCATCGCATTGCTCGATCATCAATGCTTTCCAACACGGCCAGACAACGAACATCCGAATCTACTGCGTTCCGAGAGTGTCTCGACACGCGTGAACCGAACAGCCCTTCTCGCAAAATACGAGCAAGCACGATTTCAGTCCGTTGCTCATCGACACGTACACGCTCGGTGCCCTGTTCGCTTGGTGTCAACTCCTTGTAAACAATTTCAACAGGATCCGCGAGATACCGTGGAGTCTGTTAATCGAGGGATCTCCAGTCGTCGTTGATAACGTGGCGGCGTTCGCAACGAGGACGACATTAGCGTCGCAACCCCACATCGGACAGGGCCAAGGGTATCAATCAGTGGTACATGAAAGGGGCGCGGTTCGGCCACGTCTGTCCTCGGATCTCGCATTGTCTGCTTGCGACAGATAGACAGAAGCGACGCGAAGTTCCGACGTATCTCTATCTGATGACGCTTCTGTCACTGGTAACGCCACGTCGCGTTACTTTGTTCCGCGACCACCCCTTCGACGATACCCTCCTACCGGTGGGGTGTTAATAAATTTTGCGAGGCAACCGTCTCTACCAGCGAGGGAATTTCGAGGGACACAGGAAAACCAGCCACGTCAATGTACGTGGGGTCCTTCTGTCTACGTGGGGCTCGTGTTTTAAGGGAAATTAAAAAGTTAAGGGTCGTTCCATGCCCCCGAAGCTCCTCCGCTTTCAGACCGATTCAGCTTCCGAGCTTTATTCCTGCAAGAATTTCCAGACGAACAATGTGTCCGACGAGTTACACCGAAGGATGTCTATGTTTAAGAATACAGTGGAAAAGGGTTGGAGGGTTTCCATGGAGAAAGAACTTTCTCGTTTGTTCTAACGCCAACATCGTAGATACGAATGTTTTAATTTGATGATTGCCGAAGAGAGAGAGGGGTTCGCTGTTTGAAAGGAATGTTCAAGACGGATGAGAAACTGAAATTATTTACTCCTTCCGATGCGATGGTACGCAGGAAGATACGGTGGCGAACAAAGAGGAAAGGAGTTCCTGGGCGAGACGGGATGCCTTTCTCGTCGAAAGGTTGGCCCCTTTAAAAGCAACCGGCAGCCCCGCGGAAAACAAAGGACCTTTCCATCCGGGTGTTTCTATTTTTTTGCGTGTGCGCAGGGCAGTAGCTCGCGAAAAGCCATTGTTCGCCGGTATAACAACAGCCCCGACGAAAATTCACCATAGGGAAAACGGACGAGCTACGTCCGGCAATGAAAGTAGTCTTGCTTGTTCGTTCGCCTTTGACTTTTCTATTCGTTTTGCAACGAGACAATCGCACCGCGTCTCTTGCAGACCAGCCAACCGACGAAGAAGCATCTTCGTGGTACCAGCATGATCATCCCGCGAGATGGTTCTTCCGCGAACGTGTGTCTGATTGACGTTACGAAATAACAGAGAAACACTTGGTTGACGACGGTTGATTTACGGTAAATTTACCTTCCGTATAGCATTCGAATGATAAATGATGCACATATCGAAATAAGCAAACATGTATTTTTCGTTTTTGAAAATTTTTATTTCTAGCACTAGCATTTATCATTTTAATTTCTCAGTTTCTGAGGAATAGAATTATTCTCATCGCATTATTACACGTAATGAAAAATTTTATCTTTCACCGAATCGGTCTCGTTTTTCCTCCGTTGAAACACGAACAAATACGGTTCATTTGGGATCGTTAGCCGTGTTAGAATTCAAGCTACACGAGGGCATAACTCACGAGCACGTTTGTGTACACGAAACGACGGTACAACGGTGTCATACGAGGGTATTTAATTTCGCGTGAAACAAGCGAGAAACAGGAGGGCAGGGTTTTTAGGCAGAGCACGAGCACGTCCGGCGCGTCCCTTTTGAATACACGGCTGGTCGCGCAGAGAACCGTAACAAAGGTGAACACCGTGTCCTTTCTCGTGTCGCGTTTTACAACGAGATATCTCGTCTCGCGTTCGCGTGGCGAATGCACACGCATGAAAGGTCGTGGTGAACGATACACGGGCAGGAAGTTTTTCAACGTTGAGCCATGATCTCTGGCCATTTAGCCAACGAGCTGGCTGGCTGTGAGTCATCTCTTTCCCTTTCGTCGTCGAGCAACGCCACCCTCTCCTCGTGATGCATTCGATCCGTCCTCGTAACTCTTGTCCCATTCAGTTCGAGGCGACCGTAAAATCGAGCGTTTCTTCGGGACCAGCGAGCGACAATAGTGATTTATGTCGCCGCCGCGCCGGGAGGAACCGCGACATCTCACTTCCGTCGATCCACGACCGAGCTTTCTATCCACAAATTCCTATACACGTGTTATCCGACCTACTCGCTGAAACAGATTGAAAGCTGGTGAACCGATATTTTTTATGACGATCGATTCCGGTCAGTGTCGGAGGCAAATTTAATCTTTCAGACGGGTGATTATCGAGGTTCGACAGCTGAAAAATAGAAACTCACGATATTCTAGAAAAAATTCGTGGTGCAGAAAAAAGCATCACTATTATTGGTAATAATATAACGAAATGAATTGAAGGTTTCTATCTGTTCGTTGAACCCAGACGAAT